GAGAAGTGGATTTCAAGTAGTTCAAAAAGTATGTGAATTAATATGTCTCTTTTACCTTAAAATATAAACAATAATAGTTTTAATTCCAATAAACTAATAATTTAAAATTATCATTTAAGAGATCCAATAATGAATCGCTCTCTTCAACATCCATTTCCTCTTGCTTAGCCTCATAATCATTGTCATCAACTTAGCCTTTTGACCTTTGCCACTAGCACTTGGCTTAGACCCTTCCTTTTCTTTATCTGAGTTTTAAAATTTGAAGTAGCTACTTTTTCAATAATTTTAGTTTTAGAGGTTATAACTACAATTCTAGAAGTTGGGAGTTAGAGTTGCATTTCTTCTTGCTTGCCTCTTGGTATAAATCCTAATCTTTGTTATCTTTTAATGCCTTCTCAACATCTTCTCATGCTAAGTTTTTATTAAGAAAAACTACATCCTTTTCAACATTTTCATTGTTCTCCATCTCTCTAATTAACCATTCATTGTTATAATCAACATCACTTAAGGTAAGGAAGTCAATTCCATTCCTCAAATCATAATTAGTTTTAAGTTCTTGATTGTACTTTATAAAAACTGAGTTAAATATATTTTAATGTTCAAATCTATTTCTATTCTTAAAATAAATCTTAAAAACATAATAAAAAACTAAACATAAATAACTTTTTTTTTATAAAAACAATTATTTATAAAAAAGCTCATTAACTAATAATTAATAAAATTAAAAACTTATTCAAATATACTTCATTTCTGTTGACACCTGAATACCCTAAATATCAACCTTAAAATATTAATAGTAAGTTTTTGCAAATTTAGAGCCAAGTACCCAAATAATGTTTTTATTTAACAAGTATACATAATAAAACTATTATTAGTATTTAAAATATTACAATTTTTTAATTTAAAAACTAACAAAAAGCAATTCAAAATTTAAAAGGATTTTACTAGGGCCTTTAAAGTCTTTCATTTAATTGCTAATAGTTTTTCACTCAAATATCCTTAAACTCTTGTATATTGCCATCTCTTTGTAAATTTTGAATTACATTTTA